GTCAGTTGGCTTATCGTTGAATGCAGCGAAAATTCGACTTTTCACAACAGCCATTTCGCCAGAAGTTGCTTACATTGACGTTGGCGGTGAAATGATCCAGGATTTGGGTGACGGAAAGACACATATGTACCTTGGACGGAAAATTTGTGGCGACTTTCGACGCCAATCAAGAACAGAGCTGGCGCATCGTATCAGTGCAGCGTGGGGAAAGTTCAATAAGCTGAGATTCATATTCGTGAACAAGCACCTGTCAATCAAAGGCAGATTGAAGCTTTTCAACGCCGTGGTCACTCCTACGGCACTGTTCGGACTTTCTACATTGGCACTGACGGCGCGACAGCTGGAGCAGCTTGATATATGCCAGCGAAAGATGTTTCGAAACATTGTTGGGTGGAGTCGCGACGCAGATGCAACTTGGGAAGAGACGATGCGACGCATGAATGCCCGGGCATCGTCTGCTCCCAAGCAACATCCTGTGCCTTCGTGGTCCAGTGTTCATCGTGCTAGTCAGCACAGGTTCGTAATGAACCTGATTGCGAAAAATGCTTGGCCACTACGCGCTGCAACCTGGAGCCCCTCATCCCAGCACAATTTCAATAGTGTGCCGAGACGACGACCTGGTCGCCCCCCCAAGCGCTGGGATGATGAGTTGAACAAGTTTGTAATGTCGCAGTTCCCTGGCTGTAGCTCATCTGCCAAGATGGCCATCAACAAGACATGATTTTCTACATTTTGCCAACAGGAACAGCTTCCTAATCTGGTGCTTCCCGCACAAGCTCCAGGCCCGCACGGAGCGCTTGGTGGAGAGCTCCACGGAGTTCCACGGATTTGCGGCGGTGGGCTTTGCAATGCGTTGACTCGCCGTTTCAACTCTGTACTGAAGTCCGACGCAAAGCCGCCCGCATTCGCGGGTTGAGTCGGTGGACCCAAAGTGTCAGCACAGGCCGCAGCTCGAGTGCGCCGCAGGCTTGTAACAAGGCGGATTGCGCCAGGGCTGGTATGTATCCCCGTTGGCGGCCAAAACCGCGACGGCAGCTCCCAGCGGTACGGTAGAAGAAGTCAAAACACCAAGACGACCGCAAACGCCTGCCACATTAGCATCCGTACCCCCCTCAACTGCGTGAATGGACGCGATAAGTGCTGACAGCGAAACCCTGCTGCACCGCTGTCGAGGCCCTGCACGGTGTGGTCAGAACGGTCATGGCCAGACCTCGCGAAGTTTTCCGACGGCTCGCAGTCCCGGAAGGTTTCTGCAGCGGGATGGTTTACACCACCGTGCTGAGCTACTCCGATGCCAACACGCGCTTGTTCGTCAGCAGCGACGAAGGCGTCGTGCTGGCCCAGGGCGTCGAGCGCCGGGGCAAGGGCATCGCCTTGTTTCGTCCCTCGCCTAGTCGTATGGCGCGCCGCCGGCCTTTCGCACAAACGACACACGCAAACGCGCACCCGCAACCACACCTGCACCCACACCCGCACCCACACTCGCCTGACCCTCACTGGGCGCCCGGCTTTTGAAGCTGAATCAGGACGTTACGAGGCAGAAACAGCATGCTTGTTGCGAAGAATTCACGCTGAAGGCATGATTGATGTGTGTGGAGATCGCAAATGGGTGAGTTTAGTTTTCCCAATATGCCCACGTCTCGTAGACTAACGCGCGTTGATCCCCACGCTCACGGCCCTTCATGGTTTACCCGGACAACTGACGTAGATGCACTGGGCTAGCGCTGTTGCACGTGGACGATTTCCTCCATTGGGAGTCGAACGATGAACGGAACTGAAAGAAACTCAAATCCGTGTCTCAAATGGACAGGTATGTCTTCGCTGATGTTTCCATCGTCCCACCCCTTGCCAGATGCCTGCCATAGTTCCATTTGGTCACATATCCAGGCGTAAACCCATGTGGGCCCTTCAAGATAACGCCGCGGCCCGCCAACGTGCCAAAGCCTGCCGCCCGTAAACCCTCGCCGGAACGCGCCTCGTGTGGAGTTCCCCCGAAGCTTGTTGCCGCTCCAAGATTCGTCAGAACAGCCTTCTCGCGGCCAGTCAACACACAGCCACGCAATCCAAGCCAACAACAGGGCGGAAGTGACGGAACCTACACCATACCCACTAAATAGCTGACGCACAAAGGGGCTTCCCACCAAAAGAAAATATAGCAGGTGCACTGGAACCGATCCGACGGCCTAAGGAATGAAGCCAAAGCTCACTTGGGTGAATTTGAGGTTGTCAACTTGAAATCAGCCTAAGTTCAGCTGTGCAAAAGTGCTTACAGTGCCTTTGCGATGCTGCTGGATGACGTCACGATAAGATGGCATTGCATGGTCCAGCAAAGCTACGCTTTAATGATCTTCATTTTGACATATCATTGTCATTGCCACAGCGACGCCGACTTCCTGGCGTGAACCCTTGCAGCATGCCGCGTCTTCACTACGCACATCCATTTAGCAGTTCTAAGTCTGACTTATTGTGCCAGGACCGCGCTTGAGCCATAGTAACAAGCAAAAAAGTTTCAGTCAAAATGTGAATATACATCGTATTCCCATATTCATCAATCCAATTCACAGTTCTCTCGGACTCACTCCTCTTCACTCTGTGGGGCGAACAATCACGCTTCCACAATGTTTCTTCCACCGGAACATGTCCGATGTCAATCTTTTCGGTCCCAATTCGACCGCAGCATTTTCAAGCCATCATATGACGGCGAATGCTCAACCCGCGCGGGAGCTACCTCACATGCACTCAGCAGTTCCGCCTAAGTAAGACGTCCTGACAGAACATGGGTTCAGATCAAGTCGACCACCCAAAATCCAACATAGCGAGTTAAACCCCAAAAACAAACCCGACATGACTTGACGAATGAAGGTACAATCATGTCGCGAAATACAATATTCTTCATCCCGAAGAATATGTAGAAAGGAAAATACTCCATTTGAATATTCATGCATCTGATGACAACACTCTGATTCCTTTTCAGTCAGCGAGCACACGGATTCAAAGGTTGTGTAAACAGGAGGGCTCAGAAGATGCATTTCGCACCCTCACCGTAAACGAACCTCCAGGGATGGGCACCTCTAGCGCCCGAGCCCACTCGATACAAGAACGGGATCATGCGCATGCCCATCAAACTTCTCTGCACAAATTCAAACAATCACTCCCCTTTGTTAAAACATGAGTCCCACATGTTGCCAAATCTGCACATGGAAACTAAGGAGGAGAAAGTCGCTTTCGTAAAATAAAGACATACGAAAGCCAAAACTGTTTTTAAGGTTTTAATTCACTCTGATGGACAGGTCCACCTCGCGAGTTAAACCCCAAACCAAACCCGACATGACTTGACGAATGAAAGTACAATCATGTCGCGAAATACTAGCGGCGTTTCACACGGCCGCTGAGGATCTTTACCAGAAAGTGGCCAACACGTGGCCGAATCCGAATATGAGAGACGGGCACGAGATCTCTTTAGTATGGACACTCTTATGAGTGATCATGGCGGGTGAATTCAATTCGATGTTATAGTGCACACCCGTACCATTAAATATACAGTATTATTTCACCGTCCACAATCGACCGGTAATACTAATACTATAATACTATTTATCGGGCCTTATAATACCCTTCTGTATCTATAACTGTCGGTGTTTTTATCTTGCTTCTCCCATTTTCTATCACTTTTATTTAGCTCTTTTCGTACTCCTTTCCACCGCTTTTCATCACACTCCTACACGGTGTTGTGAATGTTTCAGGGACACGCTGGCCAGGGTGCTTGCATGGGGACATCTTCTGCGATGCATGTGGTGGTCGTTTCGGCTGCAGCGGAGCGGAGCTTCGACTACACGCTTCTTTCACAATTACTACCCACTTATCCGCATAATGACGCAGCCTTACCTGCAGGCTGCAGGAGCTTGGCGTGTGCGCTGGGGGGCTTCGGGAGTGTTGGAATGTTGCAAGAACGTGCCGAGGCACACCTTACTCTACATAAACCTGGCCGTTGTGGTCGCCTTCCCTCAGCAGGCTGAGTTGATGAGTTGATGCCCACATCTTGCACACTATGCCATACCATGTTTGTGGCTGCGATTGGTCTTCATCAGTTTGCGGGCCAGGACCTGCCAAGCGTGCAAACCTTGGCACGCGATTTCGAGGCATGCGTGAAATCCAGTGCTCTCGGTCAGTGCTCGTCACGCGGATGGCTTGCCCAAGTCGTGCTTTCAGTTTCCAGGCAGCGCCGACCCCCACTCGTGGCAAAGGTGGGAAGACAAAATTTCATACAGTTACTCTACGCTACTACGTTGCGCAGCTTTATACAAGGACATGCAAGTTTGAGCTCTTCATCTTGAAAGTAGGAAGCATCTTAGAAGCGCTTGGGTCTTGCGAGTTTCGGGGGTTAAGGCACGGGGAAGGGCAGTCTGGTTTTCCAGCTTGTTTGTTCCTGGCTCGATGGAGGCCCGAGGAGCACCCGTTTGATGTGGTGGGAGCCTCTGAGTCCTGGGTTCTGGCACTTTGAAAACGCTGGAAGTTACTGGAAGGTCCCGGATAAACTGAGTGTCGCAGTGTCCGAAAATGTTGTTCTCGTTTGTAGCTTCTCTGATAGCCGGCCGTTGAGCAGCCCGGCGACTCTTTCGTAAATAGTCCCAAAACAATATTTTCTCGAGCCATGAAATGCCAAGCCGAGCTGGGCCCTTTCTGTGACTTGTTTCCTCACTTGTTGGTGGATGGCATTCCTGGGTAGATATGCATTGCTCCCATGTTTCGTGGCCCATCGCGGGCCCATGTGAGAGGCCTCCTACAGACGACCCGTGGTGGGGAGCGAAACCACTCGCAGCCCTTCAGCGAGGTCCCGCGCATTTTATGATTGCCTCACAGCGGAGAAAGAGAGTTGTGAGGCAACATCTCTTGTGGAAGACATGGTTGGCTTGGCCACTGACACGCGCAGCACGCCCATGTGGCTGATGGCCTTTTCCTCAGAGAGCGGACGAGAACAGACGGGTGTTACGCTGGTGCGCATGTCCATTGTCGAGGTTCTGAGTTTGGGGTTTGCTGCTGCTGCCTTCGCGCTGTACGTCTGGTCTCCATTTGGATCGAAGGGTGCCGAGCAACTTGTGGTCCGGCCATTGTTGCGTCACACTCGCTTCTGGATGATTGCCTCCGACGAAATGGCTCTGCATGTCAACCAGTAATTGTTGCATAGTCGCCAGGTTGGTGGGAAGAGCGAGGAGGACCGACAAACGGTGTGCAGGGAGCGAACGATAGTAACGATATTCATCTTCGCCCTAGGCTGCTGGCACTGCTGGCTGCTCGGAGCCGGAACCAGAGGCATGGAAAGCTTCACCCTGCAGCCTGTGCACAGTGCATCTCTTGCAATCCTTGCAGGCAGTCCTCGACCAAACTCTTCACCAGGGACAAGCGGCCATGCAAGACTTCGAGCTGCCCGCTTAGCACGTGCAATCACGTGCAGTTTCAGCAGCTTAGCCCTCATGGCGTAGTAGAACATCCATCTGAGGTCCTTGGCAAAGACGCTCGCCCAATCTGTGGCACAGAGAATTGGACCAAAGCTCGCCAAGGGACAGGCGCCCAAGAAGAGTCACGTGGACCATTGCTTATCAAGGGCTGCCTCCGACGCAAGGCTGTGCGGAGCATCCTCGAGCCAAGACCTTGTTGTCAAAACAGTGGGGAGGTGGCACGGCAATGTGTGCGTTAGTTGTGCATTCTCATTTCAGGTCACGCTTGTACCAATTTCCAGACAAGGCCAACATCAACCACGTTGCGTGACATGACCAGTAGACACACAGGAGTACCCCAAGAGTCCCTAGCTTCGCAGTGCTGCGCAGGCCAAGACATTCCTGATGAATGAATTGAACAGCACGGCTGGAGCGGTCTCGGAGCTCAGTTTGTACTTGTGTGTTGTTTGCATCTGATGGTGTCAGAGATTTGGCTGCTGTACAGGTCATGAAAGCCGTTGAAGCCGAAGAGGCCATGATTCTGCTGGATTTGGCTGGGCGCCCAAGTGGCAGCCGACCGTCTGGTAAATAAAACAACATTTCGGGGCCATGAAACTCTATCTAGCTCAGGACAAAGCTCTATCGGCCAATTTTCCGCCGGTCTTCCCGGCTCGTGCTTGAGTCTTGATGTGAGGCTTTCTTGTCGCACACGCGAATGTCGGGCCTGTCAGTTCAGATTCGGCTCGCTTGTGAGAAACTGTCGCTCCATACTGATGGTTTTCCCAGACTTTCCAATGGACCCTTGTGCTTGAACGAGCCAGTTAAAACTACCTCGATTCGGGTCGATTGCCTCCCGCGGAAGTGATCCCCCTTTATATTTTTGGAAGCTAAAAGAGCGTTGCTTGTATTCGTATGCATTCAGCAAAAACTTTGTGGTGGATGCAAAATAGACGGTGCTCGGGGCGCAGAAGCCTGGAGAGCGAAATTTACATATATTTGCACAAAACTTGTGTGCTGAATGGCAAAAGCGGGCTTCATAATATGTCTTGGAGCTGAATGATTTGACATTGAGCCTTTCACGGCAGCTGCAACACAGTTTTTCAGGCCTGGAGAAATCATTTTCCTTCTCACGCAGCGAGGGCAACACAGTTTTTCAGGCCTGGAGAAATCATTTTCCTTCTCACGCAGCGAGGGCATGTCTCTTTGAAGGTTTCGATGAAACATCTGTGGTGCTCGTGCTTTGCGAGGGCCCCAGGGCGGCCGGGCTCCCTTCACCATGTGTTTTTGGGCCAAATGCGGCGGCCAAGCTCACGTCGCCGTGCCTTAAAACCAAACGCGGCAGTAAAGGGTTTCAAAGCGAGAAGGGTTCTTGTTAATTAGTGTTCTGTCTTTGACGACTGGCAGCGAAGGGTTGTCGCCAGAAGAGACCAGGCTCCCTTCAGCAAACGCTGTTGGGGCCAAACGTGACCCTGCGACACTGCGCAAATAGCAGCCTGAGCATTGGCCTCGCGACTCTCAGCTAGCATGTTCATCAGCGAGCTGTGTAGTCTGTCAGTTCTGCTTTTCCTCGTGGAGCGGTATTAAGGAAGCCTGCTCCCGATGTAGCTTATCCCTTGCCCGGGACGTGACGAAACAGTTGCCCAAAAGCTGCCGTACATTTCACGCCCTTTGTTCGGAGCTTGCGGCCGTTGTCGTTCGCAAATTCTATTGGTGGGTCACGAAGCACCATGTCTTGGCATCAATATTTAAAGCCCGCCACGAAAAGTGTTCAGGAGTCGACATCGGCCACTGAGTTCAGAACTTCAGCAGCCTGATTCTCCAGTTTTTTTGGGCTAATCTCGTCTAAACTAAACGGACATATCCAACAGGACGCTGCGCATGGATTTAATTTGGCATGTTCACCTGTGCCAGCTGTCCATGCTGCTGGCGGGTTTGGTATCACCAACGCTTCTCAACATCTCTATGTCGGCACTGCACTTGCCAGATCCTCAGAGGATCTGGTTTTGACATTGGGATGGAAGGGCTGCCACGCAAGAGAGAGCGCCTGAAGCATGGCTTGTTGAGGCAAAATACGATGGTTGTCTTACCCGTCATGCTGTTGTTCGGGCCTTGCTGTGCTGATGTGACAACTTTAGCCTTGGCAGCGCATGATGAAGGTGTGGTTGGGCGTTGTGGCAAGATTACGGTGCTGATTGTGCCTTGGTAGCACGGGTCTGTTGTCCGTGTCGTCCGATGGGTAGATTTGAACAGTACCGAGGCTCTATCCCAACGATGACCATTTGGGTGAAGGTGCTGGCCCATTGATGCCCAGAAGTGACCAGGGTCCTGCTGTTGATAGGTTCAAGTCTTCATGGCAGTTTTCCTGGGCGTTTGCAATGGTGGTACGCTCAGTTCCAGCTGCAAGGGAGGAATGAAGCTTGCATTTTCTCGTTTTGCCAGGGATGGTCGCCGTAAAGATCGCCCAGGGCAAGAAGGCAATGGATGCTGCGTGCTCAGAGAGGCAGTCTGGCTACGCGAGGGCAGGCTCCTTGCTAGCCGACAGTTGTGACATGGTGCTGTTGCTGCCGCGGCTCTTCAGCTCAAACTTTTGTTGTACAGCTTTGCAGCTGATGCTGGTTGAGGCCAGGTGAGGTTTGTTGCATCGTGAGTCAGAGATTGGAGTACATTCTAGCACATGTTCGAAGATTGTCGTTGGCAGGGTAGAGTTCAGCTTAAGTCCGCAAGGATCATCATTTTCCCACCTGGAGCTGCTGATATCGACCAGGCGTGGAAGCGCCGAACGCAGTGCACATGATAGTCTGAGCTAGTTATTCATGCTTGGCAAAACCTTGAGATGTCCGGCTCGATGAGAAGAGCTCTACGTGGCATGGGAATCGCAGCAGCCGGCTTGTCCGTGGCTGGTGCAGCTCAGGCGGCCCACCTTAGGTGGAGGTATTGTTGTCCAGGAGCAGAGAATCGCTGAAGTTCTGTCAAGACAAGAGATGCTGCATAGTGGAATGGTGCCATGCCACGACAGAGTTGACAGGAGAACCACCTGGCGAGCGCCATGGTCATGTGGGTCGCAATTTTCAAGGAAAACCTTTGAAGATCCTTTTCGTGGGTGACTCCGTTGCTGTGGGCGTTGGTGCAAAGATGGCAGCTCCATTACAAGCTGCATGTGCCGAGCGATTGGCCAAGATCCAGCGGCGGCCAGTAGAGTGGTGTACCATTGCAGAGAATGGCGCAGATGTACGTGAGCTCCATGCCTTGGTGGATGAAGGCGATCACAGCTTTGACATCGCAGTAGTGCTGTGCGGCGTCAACGATGGCAAGAAGTTCCTGCAAGGCGGCCGCAAAGTCCCAAGTTTTACCTCAGCGGTCCCTAAACCCTAAAAGCCAAAACTCAAAGCCCTAAACCCCTAAGCCTAATAAGCCCTAAACCCTAATCATTTTTCGATGCACACCGGAAGTCAAAGCCCCGAAGGATGCGCGCTCGACCCCTGCCCCCCCCCACCAAAGCTGCATGTTGCTGCGACAAAAATGAGAAAGAGAAAGGAGGCAAAGGAAGACCAAAGGCGGCGGGATGGGGTGGGTGAAGGAGAACGACGACCTACATGCGGCGTACATGATCGTGAGGAAACCGGGCGAGCTTCCTGGGTGAAGGGCAAGGTGGGGGGAAGCCATGGGAAGCCAGTAGGCCATCCGGAACGAGGAAGAAGCAGAGGCTAGTGAGAGGGGGGCTGGAGGACACGGCCCAGACATCATTAAGCCATGAGTGATATCGAGGCGGTGGTCCCACACGTGGCCGAGCAGTATATCATAACCAAGACGGGTCAGTGTAGTTGTTCCGGAAGGGTGGAACGAAGCACGCTTCACGCTCGGAGGTCTGCGTCTCCACGCCTTGACGAAAGACAGAGAGACAGATTGACAGATTCGTGCGAGCTGATACACACTCATCGTTGGCAGGCCGGTGGCCCTCCCATTTTCGGGAGGACTTGGCCGCATTGTGTGGCACTTTGAGGAAAGCTGCCCCAGACAGTGTCATTACAGTTCCACAACTTCTGGGCAACTTGGACCAACTACTGCGTCGTGCTTGTGCGATTGGGCAAGTGTAGCCATGTGTGTGTGTTGTACCAACGAAGACATTGGACGTGCGATTGCTGTTAGGATTGTAACATGTTGTGACACAGTGCAACAAATTCGACTCATGAACATCGTCATCACGGGCGCGGGCGCACGCGCGCACACGCGCTCGTGCACGTGCACGTGCGCGTGCGTGTGCCCGTGTGCGCGCGTGTGTGCATGCGTACGTGGCGGTGTGAGTGCCTTGTCCCAGCCTGCCAAGACTGAGAAGGTCACGTGGAAGCTCCATTGTTTCAGCAGTGGCCCATGTGCCATTTGGTGGACGAGCTGAGCTTAGAATGCCTGCTACATGCTGCTATTCTAGAGTCTGATCCGCTTGTGCAATGTTGACGCCAACCAATGAGGCACTGTTTGGCCAGTTTGAAGCACAAAAGACTGCGTTGGAAGCTGCCGGAACGGTACGGTGACTTTGTGGCACTTAGCGGCCCGATGCATTCTGATTGGCCAATTGGGGCGGGAGAGGGAGTGGGAGCTCCAAGAACGGAGGCCCCTAATGCAGGGGGCGGGCAGGGAGCTCCTCCCCCTAGCCCCACGCAAGAAAGCAAGAAAGCAAGAAGGAAAGAAGGAAAGAAAGAAAGAAAGAAACGAAGAAAGAAAGAAACGAAGAAACGAAGAAACGAGGAAACGAGGATAAGAGGAAACGAGGAGACGAGGAGACGAGGAGACGAGGAAGCGAGGAAAAGAGGAAACGAGGAAAAGAGGAAACCCAGGAAACCAGGAAACAAGGAAACACAAAAACACAAGGAAACAAGGAAACAAGGAAACACAGAAACACATAAACAAAATTAACAGGAAACGCAAAGACACAGAATCACAGAAACACAGAAACACAGAAGCACAGAAGCAAAGAAACAAAGAAACACAGAAACCAAGAAGCAAAAGAAACAAATACGCAAAAAAAAACCTAAAAAAACAAAGGAACAAAATAAGCAAAGAAACAAAAACAAAGAAACAGAGATACACAGAAACAAAGAAACAAAGAAGCAATGAAACAAAGAAAGAAAGACCCACAGAAACACAGAAAGAAAGTGGGGGCATGGAAGTCGCGGTCGGGATGCTTGCGCGTGGGGAGTAAGCCTGACGCGCCTCCCAGCTTCATGGCGAACTTCATTGTGGCAGTATGGTTATGCAGCCACCACGACTGAGGTCGCTTTCTTCGGACTCCAGACCTGTGCTTCAAGCGGATGCGCGTTGGTGGTCTGTGGATGGCATTCATCCCTCAGGGGAAGGCTACCGAAAATTAGGTGAGTGGCAACTTGTCTGGAAAATGGAAAAGCAGCGAAAGCACCAGGATCCAGTGCGACATTCAGTTCAGTCATCAGCCTTTCTTTGTTCAAGGTTGGCCCCCTTGCTCGCCAAAGTCCACAATCCACAATTGGCGGAGTAGTGGCTTTGTCCAGAAAGCTTTGGAAATTGATGCTGACAAGCCAGAACTTGCTTTGAGCAGAGAAGCGTGGAGAAGGGTGGGGGTGGTGATATCTTGACTGAGGTCCATTGTTGTTTCGATCCTCCAGTCGTGCTCGAGGTGGCAGTCCGATTTGTCGACTGCAAAATTGTCTCATAGCGTGAAGACGGCATCAGCCAGCAGGTTTTCCTGGCAGGGGCAGACTTTGTCGCAAAGAGTGGCGCCTCCCCCCCCCATACTACTGGGAACCTCTCAAACCCCAAAGCCAATTAGGGCTCAGGGATACGCTGGCGGATACGGTTTGGGATATCTCTGGTGTTGAGCCCAAATGTAACGACCCACACCTATAACACGGGGCTATCAGATGTTCATCGGTGCAAGCCATAGATAGCCAATCATAGAATTCGGAGCGGCAATTGAGCCATTAGCGAGCTTTTGACATCTTTCCTTCCCAGGTTACCCTCTTACCTTCCACGCCGGATGGGTTCTACGGATGCAAAATTTGTGTAAAGATCCGTACTACGTATGCCAAAACGTAAAAACCTTGCAGAGACCTGAGGATGCCCACTTGCCTTGGGCATGCGCTGAGCATGACCCTTTGTTACTGGTGGCAGATCATGGCAGATCCATGAAGATGGCGCAAGCTCGGCCATTTCCTTCTGCCTCCGAAAGGAGGCGGAGAAGCCGAGCCTGGCAGACAAACAGCTGAGCAGCAAGGGGCTGGCTCAAAGCAAAGATTCCTTGATGTAACTTTGCACAGCCAATAGGCTGTACGAGTGCATGTGATGCGGGCCCGAACACGCCACAAGCCAAAGCTTTGGTGGTGTGAAGGCCGGCATGACTTGAGTGCAGCAATTGCAGCTTCACGATTTTCCTTCAATTTGGATTCTGCGGTTGTGTGGCACTTCGACTCCTCGCTCTTCGGCCACTTGGTGGCCCGACAATCCCTGACAGAGCAGTGACCAGCTTGCTTGGCACAGGAAAAAAGCAAAGTGTTCAATCCAGGCTATGCAGTCAGGAGGTCACAAAAACTTTAATGTATGTAGCACCAGACTAGAATCGGTCGAGGCCAAGACGGAGCGACTGCAGAAGCGCATCAAGGACACGTTGGGTGTGTGCGTGCGTGGGCACGTTGCGTGACACGATGTTCAGAGCACGGATGCCAGGAGGCACAGTCATCCGGCCAGTCGGGAGTTGGTGAACTTCGCGAGCTCTTCGTCTGCAACTCTGTTCTCATCCAGGAGGCTCAGCTGAGTGAACCTTGCGACGTGTGATGCGGGCCTCGCCTGCCGATAGATTTGACAGGCGCTCTTGCTGGAAGACGAAGTGAAGGCATCGTTTTGGTTCAACGCATCTGGAGTTGCCACCGTGCTTTGGCTGGTAATGCTGCGTGGATGCAGACCAGATAAAGTACCTCAACGAGTCCTGAAGAACCCGGAACCAGTTGCCATGGCTTGCTGAGGACTTTGTGGACATGGGTGCTGGTGTTTGGGTGGACTTTCGTACCGGGCGTTACTGCTTTTGACAAGGCTGCCGAGCACAGCTCCTTGGCTCAATCTGAGCCATGAAAAAGTAGTGGCTCGTTCTGCAGGAGTCGCTCATGTGCAGTAGCATGTGTAGCCAGATGTAGCAAGTGTAGCGACTTGAGCCATGTACAAGGCAGGGGGAGGTGGGAGGCGACAGGGGAAGAAGTGGAGTTGTGAGTTGTGAGAAGCTGGAAGCAGCCTTGTTCAGCGAGATTTGCAGCTTCTCGTGGAACCGAGATGCAAACTACTGCGGGGCTTGGGCGACAGCCTCCGGCTCGGCGGAAGCTGCGCTTCGAGTTGGTGCTCGCTGTGGTGTCTGGGATGCCGCTGCCACAGGTCCTGGCCGCGCGAATCACGGCGATCCTGGCCGTTCTCTTTCTGATCGTGAATGTTCTGACAGTTGGGGTCTCCGCGTTTTGTCGTATGGTGCTGCTGTATTTGAAGTTATGAGTCATGAGTGCTTGCCTGGGCCGGTGCTTGACGTTTGAGGTGGTGAATTGGCTTGCTACGATCCTCATTACCTCTGACGCCTTTGCCCAGTCCATGTTGAAGAAGGCACTTGTCAAACCCCCGCCAAAGGATAAAGAAACCAAGCCTTGGCTTGTGCACTCGGCCTGTGTACTCAGCTGGCTACAGGGCAGGCGTTGCTTGCGCCGGACGTAGCATGTTGGAGCCATCTGTAACTCGCAGGCCTGTGACATCGACCGGCAGGCGTTGGAACCCCAGATCTAGGAGCAGAAACTTCCTGTTGGTTAGCAGGGAATGAGGGAATTAGGGGCCCTACAGACAACCCTTGAAGGGACCATATAGGGTACCTCATTCCCCGATTGCCTGCTAACCAACAGTATGGAGACGTCAGCTGCTCTCGCGTTTTTGCTCACTGAGGTTGGGGTTTCCAGTCGCGCAGCTGCTGGTCAAGGCCTTGCTCCTCCGAGGACGTCGCGCGCTCATTGCTGAAGTGAGGTGCAGGACGACTGAACTTACTGTTGGTTAGCAGGCAATGGGGGAATGAGGTACCCTATATCATCCCTTAAAGGATGAAAAGAGGGCCCTAATTCCCTCATCGCCTGCTAACCAACAGAAAGCTGAAGGAACAAGACTTGACACCCCTGTGAATTCAGACACACATGCGAAGGTCCATCATCTGGTTCACGGATAGGAGGCACAAACTATCCGATCATCACATCCGCATCAACTTGCCCGCAGCAAGCGGAGGCTCAAACATGGTGTAGCTGGGATCCCACCACCGACCAAGGTTTTGTCCAATTTTGGGGGGGGTTCCTGGTGCCATGGCATTTATTCGCCCATGGATATGCCTTTTGAGCTTGTTGCCTCTTGCTTCTGGATATGTTAAACTTGGGAAGCACATCGTGAAGTATACAGAAGATCCTTGGTACTGATGCCCTAAACATCCTACAATGCTGCTTCAACAGATGACGTTGGCCAGTTTTTTATTTTCTTTATTTTATATATCCGTTTGAACCATCAAGGAAATGGCCAAACAATTCAATCGTTCCCCTTCCTCTGTTTGTTGTTCCTAATCTTGTTCGAGAAAACGGCCAACCGTAGCGTGACATACTGCATGCCTACTAAACAGCTGAACAGCTGCGGGCCTCTCGATCCTGCAATCTTCGTTTAGCACGCACATCCCAGGAGAAGTTGAAATATGTGCTGACCCGGGAAGATCATCCACCCATGCTTCTGGAGATCTTCTCTCCAACATGCCCGGCATGTGAAGCCTTCGCCCCACACATGTCGGGTGCCGCGGAGCGAATCAAGCAAGAAGCTCCTGGTATCAAAGTGGTCGCTGTGGATGGTACCCAGGCGGAGTCCATCATGAAGGAGCTGGGGACGCAAGAATTCCCTTCTGTGTTCTTCCTGGGGAGTGACAAGTCAAAGGCTCGCATGAACTACAAGGAGGCGAACTCTGCAGATGCAATCGTAAGCTGGACACTGAAGGTGTCTGCTCCGACGATCCAGAACATCAGTGCTGCTGAGCTGCCAAACTTGGACTCCAGCAAGCTCCCCTTTTTGGTGCTGCGATCCTCCAACATGGTGCCAGCCTTCGCGTCCCTAGCACAAGACTACAAACTAAAGTTTGATGCTTTCTGGATAAAGGTGGACACTTCGCCAGTCTCGCAGATCATGCATGCTGGTCAAGACGCGCGCAATTTCACTTGGACCGACCCTAAAGCAGACAGCCTTGATGATGACGGTGAGCTCTTTGAAGATTTTGTCAAAGAGAACATCTTTCCAGTCTCTTGGCGGCATTTGCTCACACTCACGCAGCCAAGCCTCTTCGCATCAGGAAGTTACAGAGATGCACAGCCTTCATGAGCATCGCAGAACATGGCCGAGCCTCTGAAGGCGGTCATCATGCTTCCGGATGTCAAGAAGGTGTCGAGCATGCTTGATGGATTGGGGCCCGATGCGCAGTTGCTGTGGCTGGTGTTGAATTCGACCGAGGCCAGGACTCAGCACTTTTAGATGCCTGCCCCCCCTCCTCCCCACCCTCAAGCAGAGCACTGCTTGAATGCTTTTCTGTGTGCTTACTTGAAAATAAAAGCAAGCTTTTTTGCCCAGATAGCGCTAATGTGAGGGTTAAGCTGTGGTTCTGGCGCGCGAGGCTCAGCCGGAAAGCGACAGGTCTTGCGGTGAAGAGGCTACCTGCTCGGCCGGTCCTGCGGCTGCCGGCGATCCGACGGATGCTTTGCAGCGAGCATATGCGCCGCACAGGCGGATGTTCCAACGAGCCGTCGCAGTGGCAAGGGATCCTCGCCTGAGTTTTTTTAAAGCTTCATGCTTGACTTCCCAGGTATCGGCATGATGGGCCAGTCATGTGGATAAGCATGATAAGCACAGCCATCGCGTTGGTGCAGGAGAAGAAAGCGAAAGTCTATGGCTTGTGCATTGACATTGCCAGATGGCCGGATTGGGTTGAGAGGGAGCTCTACGCGTGGACTGCTCCGGTTCTAGTTGCGCAGCGTTTCCGGCACGGCCCGCGGTACTTCTTCGCAGATCATGGCCTCCCAGTGCCTGCTTTGAACATGAGTGGCATTCTGAAATAACCAGAACCGGAGCCAACCTCACACTAAAGGCATCAGACGACTTTCGCATATCGTGGCTGCAAGTTCTTGGCTACCGAACTGAAAGCTGCAGTAGTAGCTCAGGCCAATGCAAGGCAATTGACGGAATGGTTCAACGGTCTCCTAACGAGGACGCCCTTGTCGCTCGCTTCATGGCATGCGGCCTGCAGGTGAACAGGTTGGTACCTGCTTCGCGTACAGGAGCCCACGGCAGATGTCCGAGCGCCCTGCACCGAGTTCCTCCGTCAAGCTTTGGAGAAAGTTTGTGAACCTTGGCTTGGAGGACAGTCTCCACAAGAGGCTTTCTGTGCAGTTCAAGCTTGCAGTTCAAGGTTGCTTGTGATATTGGCAAGCATAGCATTGCAGGATGCACTTCGCGCGGAGCCAGCAACTCTGTTGTACACCTTCAAGTCCCCAGATTCTTTGTCGCAGGAGCAGGAGGCCAATAGGGTTCGTATCAAGCAGGTTCAGAAAGGGAAAATTTTATGGCTCAGCGTTTGCTTGCAGAGATTCCGGGGTAGCCGCTCCCGTGCATTCGTGGCGCCCTTGTCATGCCGGTAGCTGCTTCTGGATTCGGAGGTTATCGACCACGAGGATGAGATGGAAGCATTGGACACGCTTGCTGGCTGGCTCAAGGAGAATTGCGAAAGGCCCACGGCAGCCTGCAACTTGTGGAGAGCTTTTCTGAAACGGATGTCGTCGGAGGCCGCCGCTCCTAGGGGCTTTGGATGTACGCCGAAACGAAGTGCCCCTGAGCCTCTATGCTGCTGCAAGTATTGGTGGCCTGACCGCCCCAAACTTGTATTTCATTGCCGGGCGCTCGGTGGTTCTTAGGCGTCAGTGCTGCAGATCTTTTCGAATGCCTTGCAATGGCTTACGATCCTGTTGTCACATACATTATTCAGATAGTTCTAGAACTCGGTATCTGAAAGGTATGGGCCCCCACTCCACGTTCCCTCCCTCCCTCACCGGAGCCTTGCATTTCTTGTCGCTGCACGTTGCTTTGAGGGGGGCGGGGGGGAAGGGGTGCTGCAACACGTACGCTGCAAAATGCAGAAGTCTCGACATATGTTGGAACACCTCCCCCACCCGGGGCGTTTTTGTTGGGGTGGTGGGAAAGGCGCTTCCACCCGCCAGGTCTTTCTTTTCTTGAGGTGCTGTGTGCGAAGGTAGGCTCTGGAGTACTTGTAGCAAGGCCGCGACCCCACCCCCAGCTCAGGGTGTGACGCCCTGAGCATGCAGCATTTTTCGGAGTGTTCTTAAGTCGTTACCATTGTGCGCAGTGCAGTTCGCGACGCTCCTGAGCCTGATGTTGCAGGGGCTTGAGAAGACTTGCCAGTTTGGTCAGGGCATGTCCTTGGCATTGTCAAATAGTACCGAGGAGAGCGATCAAGGCAAACCTTCCATGGGAGTGAGGTGGGCGGGCGAGGTCAGTGAGCACCTAGATCGAGCGTCACGGATACCCGACGATCCGATTGGGCAGCGAGAGGGTGTCCTCACAAAGGGCTTGCGGGGCATCATCCAGTGGGTTCTGGCAAAGGCAAGGCCGCTGCCCTCGCTGAAGTTGCCAAGTAATCCAGACTTGTCAAAGTTCAGTGCTTCGACCTCTTCTAGTCAAGTCGTGGACTTGGAGTCGGAGGCAGCGCTGCAGGATTTGCTGCAGAAGAACTTGACAGGTTTCGTTGAGTTCTTCTCGCCTTCGTGCGGGGCATGCAAGAAGTTTGCACCAGTCTACGAGTCAGCGGCCAGAAAGGCACAGGCAAACATCGGGAAGCACGCTTTCGCGAGGATCGATTGCTCAACCACTCTAGGCGAACAGAGCTGCAACAGGCACGGTATTGAAGCTTATCCCTCTGTCTTCTACATGCACGGCGGGCAGATGGACAAGTATCCAGGTGGGTCAAAGCGGAAGGAGCTACTGGACTACCTTGCAACCATGACGGAGCCTGCTGTGATTGATGTCGCCAGTGAGGAGGAGAGACCGGTATCGGCCTGTTACGTACAAGGTTCCAGGCCTTCCAGGCCCTTCAGGATATTATTCATCACGTCTGATTCTTTAATCCCACAGCCGCCCGAAGGTTCTAAGTCAGTCTGATCTAATCTGGATAATGCCCAGCTCGGCAAGGCTCGCCTCTTCTTCATGCCGAGGCTGTAGCCAGCTGGCTCGGCGCCCCGAAACACTGCAGTGACTAAATCGCAGAGGGGCTCATCCTCGACTTCTTTTCCTCTGAGAGTAAGCTAGAGAGCAGAGTCAACCAAAAGCAAGTTCGTGGCAATGCGACAGCTTGTTTGTCCATGGGGAGCGTCCCAGGACAAGGTTTTCTCCTGTCTGTCTACAACCTTGTTTCCTGTCGGTATTGCCGTGTCTTGCCATATTAAATTGCCATGGTTTCTCCGAGCACATTCGAGCATGTTCGAAACTTTCGTCATACCCGGTCATGTCACGCCCATCATACCTGGCCGTATCGCCCCGTGCTTTGAGCAGCATTGCTGTTGTCTGTCATATGTAGCGGCAGTCCTGAATTGTCTTCGCGCCATTTCCCAGCTGGTGCCACGTTGTGTAACATGTTTGAAGGGCCTGCCTGTGTGGAGTGAACGTGGCTTGAGTGGTTGCATCGGTCAGGAAGCATGGGCACTTGTAAAGTCCAAGCAGATGCCAGTACTCTTATGGCGGGGCGGCGAGACAGTCAACTATACCAACGTGCAAGCAGCTGCACTGGACTGGAGGCGACATGCAAGGCTTAGCAAGCTCCAGACTCCAAACGTGCTGTGGCGGTACTTGCAAGTTTTCAGATTTCACGTGCTAGTAGATCTGGGCAACGTTCGTGCTTGGTGCGGAGAAGTCCCAGCATTCTGACAGGACGACAACGGCAGCCTGATGCTGTTGTGGCCTGGCACAGCAAAGAAGGTGTCGAGGTATCTCCCGCACGAGTCGGATGAACCGTACTCAAGCGATTCGGTAGCCATCTGGCTTGCAGAGGAGTTCGTCAAGTCCGAGCCTGCACCAAGTACCCAGTCCTGGCCCGTGAAGACTGTTGTTGGCACCACTTTTCGGGAGATGGTTTTTGATCCCCTGGATAAGGGCCAGCATGTCATGCTGGAGGTTTACGCCCCATGGTGTGGTCACTGCAAGAAGCTTGCGCCGGAGTATGAGAAGTTTGCGCGGAAGATGGCAGAGGAGGGGAGGGAGATTGTGGTTGCGAAGCTGAACGGCGATGCGAACGGGATTCCGTATGGCGGCTTTGAGTACACAGGCTACCCTACGATCTTCTACTTGGCACCTGGCTCATCCGGCATTGTCAAGGTTTCGGAAAGAACTGCTGCGGATTTGATAACGTTTGTTCGCAAGAACAAAGTGCCCTCACTCGCCAAAGCCGCATCTCACAAAGAGGAGCGGGAGGTAATTTGTCTCGAGCAGCACGGGAGTCCAATTGCCACTAGTGTACCAATCCCTGCCAGGACAGGAAGAGTCCCGACAGTCTTCTCGAGCAGTTCCAATCGGAGGACTGTTGCCAGCCTGGGCTCTAAGTTCCCCCTACTCTTCCGCATTGTCGCGTGTTTTCCCCCATGAATGCAGTCCAGATGCCATGGTGTCTTCTGGGTGTAGCTGAAGCTTCCGCATCGTCATCCCAGGCTGGAGGCGAAGAAAGAAGGGTAGGGGCGGAAAGAGCGGAAAGCAGAGCGGGAGGAAGAAGGAGGGGGACGAGGGGAGAGGTGGTGGAGGAGGAGGAGGAGGAGGAGGAGGAGGAGGAGGAGGAGGAGGAGGAGGAGGAGGAGGAGGAGGAGGAGGAGGAGGAGGAGGAGGAGGAGGAGGAGGATGAGGCAAACTGCGGTGTGAGGGCAGAGGGGAGGGAACCAGAAAAGGAAGGAGCTACCACAAACGTGGAAGTTGGGCTTGAGCTGAGATTGAATGGTCCTCGCCAGCACCTTCAACAAACGCAGTGCCAAAATGTGTTGGTCATCTTTCCCTGTTGCATTTCGTGTTCAGTCCTGCTCATTTTGTTCTGACTTCATGACCAGGTTGTGCTTTGGCAGCCGCATGTCACGTTCAGACCAACATGCCAAGCTAGCCTCAAGCATAAACCCATGAATTCAAGGGATCTTCCTCCGACGATTTCCCGCGCCTGCCTCGCGTGACCGTTCAAGTTCCATTGCTGCGTTTTTTTGCACGCTGTCTGAAGATGTGCGTCGCTGCCTGAGGACATCCCTGTGCCACAAACATCTCCGGTGCTGACCGTGGTGCTGAAGAACTTCATTCAGACGGTTTTCAGCGACAACCGCAAGTGTATCCTAATGGTGTATGTCCCTTGGCCCTGACACTTCAAATTCTCAAAGGTAGTTTGTGGGGACCGGAATGCCGAAGGGAAGCTTGTTGTCATTGGGAAGTAGTGCAATTTCTGCCGGTGGGGGATAAGGGTGGTATCTTCCCCTGATAACAAGAGCCAGCAAACAGCCGGAGCCCAGAACGACAAATCAGTCGAGCAATGCTATAGACTTAGCCCCGGAAGTTCGAGCGGATTGGCTGTCACCCACCACAAGTGTATCAAAAAGCATATCTATGTTTATGTATGTATCTATGTATGCTCGTATCCACCCATTGTCTAGGGCTCTGGGCTTCGTTCGTTAGTAAGTCTAATTCGAGAGGTACGCTTAATTCGACTTGTATCGTATGTTAAGATGCCACACCCCAAGACATCCTCTTCTAATTCTAAGCCTCTTTCACGAATCCAAAATCCCCAAATCCCCAAATGCAAGAATCCAAGCCGCAAGCCGGGACCCCACTCTTGTTTTGAAACTCTGGTTTTTCCTCCCTTTTCTTTTGTTCTTTTCACGCACGGTTTTTGGATATTTTTTTCGGTGAGCAAGTGTAGAACGTGCAAAACACATGTGTTTTTGTACTGCTTGCACAATTTTCACATAGAATCAGACTTCGCACATGCTCAGCATGTCATGTTCATCGGTATTTAGGAGGGTTTTAATAGGAAGAAAGTAAAACCTAGATCAGGGGGGGGGGGGTGTGATAATATGTACATATATATGTACACATATTTTGTGGTTGTTGTCATTCATTTTTTGCTTATTTGTTTGTACACATGCGTTATAGCCCTGGCTTGCCTGCACAAGCCCAGGCCAAGGGTTGTCCACATTGCCAGAATATGCTGCCCCAGTGCCGTTCTCAGCAAGAGTGAGTAGAAAAAACAGACGCTGCTAAAGCTGTGGTGGTGAGATTGCGCCTTCCTTGGGGCAAAGGTTCGAGTCGTTCGCCTCGGATCTTGGTCACAGGGAGGACATGACCGTTGCCAAGATGGACGGTCAGAAGAATGACTTGCCGTTTAGTGGATTCGATGTGAAGGCTTGACTTGACTCCTTCAGAGATGCCTCAGGGTGGCAAGCATCCCCCCTGCAGGGATACCCGACCCTCTTCTTCATTGACGCTGGGCAGAAGGCCGGGACCAGACACAGACAG